AAAAAACAATTGCCAAATAATGAATTCATCCTAGGATGTGTCGACAATAATCTGCTTGAATATTTTTCTATCTCACCTCCTCCCCACCTTTCCTAAGCAAAGTCGAAATGCAGATGGAGAGTTCGGAGTTGATGCTGGATGTTCAGATTCCTAAGTGGGGAGAGAGTTTGTGCATCTCACTCGAAAGTGCATCGAAATAGTAGGCATTGGCTCCTAGATATAAGTCAGACCTGCTTTCTCACCCGGGGAGTAAGTCCCATTCATTTCAGCACTTCATCTGGCCTCGCCTGCCCTAGGAGTGTAGTGCGGCAGGACCTGCTACTTGGAAGGACTCGGCTGAGCAGGACTGGCCTGGGAGAGCTCACCTGAGCGGGTGACCTGCAGCCCCAAGGCCCTGCCTCTGCGCGGCTGTCCTGGGTCAGTGCCGCTCACCCAGAGTCAGAGAGAGCAGGTCAGACTGAGCCTAAGGTCTGTCCCGGACACAGGCGAGAGCATTTCTTTCCTCCTTCCTTCCTTCCTTCCTTCCTTCCTTCCTTCCTTCCTTCTCCAAATGCTTCGAGTTGAACTCTGAGGTTTTCCACCAGTATCTTGTCCCCAGGCAGATTTCATTCTGAGTCTTTGGACGTGGTGTGGCCAGGAGCCTGCCCTGACCCTGCCCCCACCACACACACACACCTGCCCTCACCTGATGATCATTTTCTTCTCTTGCTGCAAAACTGGTTGGCTTGCAACCCACAGAGAGCAGCTTCCCTTGGCTCTGAAGGGTTGGGGGAGGGGGGTGTGGGCCCCTGGCCACGTTTACAGGAAAGGGTGCTGAGACCCTGCCCCAGCCGCAGAGGAGGAGGAATCAGCTCCCTCGCTCCAGCGGGCCCAGCCTGGCCAGGGGAAGAGTCCCTAAGGGTTTGATGTGGGGATGGGGTGGTGGGCGCTGGGGACTAGATGGTTGACTCTGTTTCTTTATTTGTGCCATTGTTTGGACAATATTAAAGCTGCATGTAAAGGGGGAATTAGTATATGATGTAGGCGAAAGTGAAATCATAGCAACATGTTTTAGTATTATTAACTTTTTTCTGTACAAATATTAGCGCTAAACGTTGGAATATGTATGAATGCCAGAAATATGTTGGTTCACGCTGTAGGATTAAAACACAAAAAAAGGCTTTTCTTTTAAACTAGCTCCACTTTTAAAACCTGCCTCTGGGTTTTCGTTTCCTCTCGTGTGTGTGTGCGTGTGTGTGTGTGTGTGTGTGTGTGTGTGTGTGTGGTGTGCGCATGCTTGTCTCGTTGAGCTCTGTACCAGAGCTGCCCCTGTCATCGCGGTTGTTGGTATTTCTCTGCCTAGTAGACAGGTCTTGCGCTTCACCAAGAGGTCTGCCCGCCTTTGTGGAAAGCTGGTGACAGTTTGAATTTACAGTCAATGTGAATCATGTGATCCATCCCAAGTCTGTGTTACGGTGGAGTCAGCCAGCAGTATTTTGTTTTTGAACTCTCTTGTTTTCCTTTTTTAAGTGACCTCCTCTTTTTCAAAAAAGGAATGTTTTCTGCTCAGATCATAACCAGGCTCAAACGCCTTGTTGGCATCATTTATCCTGGTAACAACTCACGTGCAACTGGTAGTCTTGACCACATTCCGTCCACCCTGTCCCTGTGGGTCGGTCTGCACACACCTGTGCCGTGGCCGCTCCCAGTGGGAAGGGCTCTCTTTCTTTCTCTCCACCCTAACTGGATCCACCTCCTCTTCTTGCCAGCCCCCACCTCACTTTTATTCCTCTCTCCAACCAAACCCTTGCTGTAGGAACTGGTTTAAAACACTGCTTGAAAAACTGTCTTTCGATTTCTTTTTAAAAACTTGTTCCGATTTTGTTCACCATCCACCATGAACAGTGACTAACTTTGTGCAATGCAACATGTCCATGTCTGTTACTGCTCTAAAGCATGTGTTTGTCAAGATTATTTCCTGGTTCATTCGAAGGGAGGACTAGCTGGGGACCAGAATCCAAATTGCCTCAAGTGGAATTTTTAAAACCAGCCTGTTCCTTCCCCTGGGATCCCTTAGTGAAGCCTGTGTCTCGTAGGAAAAGGAAAAGCAAGTTAACCGTAAGGAACAATGATCTTTAGGGTCTTTCTTACCAAAATAAAGGACCCTCCCACCATGGAGTGTTTAGGAGGACCCCTACGCCAGCCCAGTAGGGGCTGGGCTCTGAGTGTCTGGGCCTGGGATGGGTCAGGGCAGGGACAGTGGAGGTGACGAGCTAATGGCTGCCTGAATCTAGCCCTCCCCTTTGTTCTATGTGTGTCTCCAGGCAGCCTCACTTCCTTCAGGTTGGCCAGGCTTCGGGCAGGCGAGTGCTTTGCTGTATGTGTTTGTTTCTCTGCGTTATCTGGGGGTGCCTTGAATAAATGAACTCTATTACATACTGATTCTGGAACAAAACAGTTGCAAAAAAAAAAGGCTGGCAGTTCCTAGGCCCTCCTGCTTCTCCCTCTGGGTTCCCTGGCCATGACTCCGGCATCAGAGGTGAGCTGCAGCAGACGGTGTGATTTTGTATAGTGTACAAGTAATTTATTAACTGTCTTTCTGAAGGTATGCTGCTTTGAAGATGCACTATGATTTTGGATTTAATCCTCATCTTGCTTTCCCAAGGAACTTTAAAAAAAGGCTGTTGATTAGCAGGCCAACTGCCGCTTCTTGAAAAGGAGGGCAGGGAGCCGAGTGAGGGCCTGCATGGGACTGCTCAAGGTCAGGTGGGCACAGTGTCACGTTCAGTGCTGTTGCCAAGAGGTCCACACCTACACTCTCTCCTTTAATACTTTATGATGGCCATTCAAGAAGAAGAAACAAACAAAAGTGTAAAAACGATAAGCCGTTTAAAGAAACCGCCAAGTCCTGCCCTGTGAGCTGATCCACTGTGGGGCAGCGTAATCCTCTGAACACAAGCAGAATCCTGCCAGGCTCTCTCAAAGCCCTTCTTGGCTCCCTAGGTCTATACATCACACCCCATTCAAACTGGGAGCTGCATAGGAAAGGACTTCAACCGCTCCACTATCGCTTAGTGGAGGAGTCAGATCTAGAAGGAAGCAAGAATCAAGTTTTTTCCTCATCACTGTAAATAGACGAAAGAACATAGCGTGTGTGTGTGTGTGTGTGTGTGTGTGTGTGTGTGTGTGTTTAAAGAATAAAGCTGTTCACTGGATCATGAATTAGTGTTTCTTGCCCAAATTGAGGATTTTGTTGTAGGTTCAGTTTCTGGCAGGTCAGTCCACAGCGCAGGGCCCTGGGTGGCCGTGGGGAGGCATCCTGTGTTCAAGCTGTGTGTTTCTAACACTGCCCAGGCCATCTCATGACCCAAGCATCAAAGACGGATGCTGCAGAATAGAAAATATTTGCACACAAGTATGTGCAAATAGTACTTGTACATAGAAAATAACTATTGTGGCAGATTAAGGATAAATTATTCAACTGACGGTGCAAAAACATTTCTTGCAAAGAAAAGTTAAATGTATAGTATTTTCCTACACTCCACCCTGGGAGGTAATATTTATATCAAATGGCTATCGGTGTGTTTTCATTGTAATATGGAGATGATTTCATGGCGTGGCGTGATGTGCGCATTTCAGTATCAAGCAATGGACAGACAGCTCTGACTCTCACATTCATTCCAGGTTATTGACCTCAGAGGAAACCATGGCCCTCCTTAGAAGCAGAAGTGCACCCAGGCCATTCATTTCAGGTAGACTGGCATTCAGTGCCAAATGCTCCTGTGTATCAGGAAAGGGGAAAGGACTTGGACACAGTGGGGTTTTCCTACAGACTGATGCTTAGCCTTCTACCAAAACATGTCTGGAGGCAGAGGGGTGACCTCCGCTCGAGTCCCCGCAGTGCACTTTGCATGTGTGAATGCTGGGGTGCCCATGCACGCTGGGACGTAGACCTGCCACTTCCAGCGAGTAATCAGGAAGATTCCAGATGCACTTGGGAGCTTTGGGTGCTGGTTAGACACCGTGAGCCATTCCGGGCAAGCACCCACCTTTGCTTGGGAGGCCAAGAGGGCCTGTGAGAATTTGTTCCAGAACCAGTCGGATGCAAGTGCACCTCTAATACATGCCTTACAAACTCCAGAGGCCATATTCAAAACAGGGTCTTCTCAGTGTATGCAAGGGGCCGCAGCCCCGCCTCTCCTCCTCCCCAGGTCGAACAATACGGACAGATTTCACACATATCTACCTGTATAACCCTCTGTACCTCTCATAACTGGTCAACGACTGTAACAGGTTACATCAGGTGTTTTTCTACATACTTTTTACACAGATTCTATGCGATTAATGTAACTTAATTCAGTGCATCAGTTTATTATACTAGTTCTTAGGCTTGTCTTTTACTTTCTAAGTGATTGTGGTTTTTCTTGTGGTTTTTATTGTAATGATGAAAACGGCTGTTGATGCTTATTCTCTGTAACTAAGAATTTTTACCTTTTTTGGGGGGGAAAGCGTTGCTATGAACTAATGAATTGAAACTTCATTTACTCATTGTAAATACACTATTGTGCAAAAAAAAATTTCAATTGAATTGCTAGTGTTAACTAAATTTTGTCTAGACACCATTTCTGTTGATGAAATAAAGACATATCATTATGCATTGTAAACTGATTTTCTCTGCCTCGGATCCCTGTTACAGATGACACAGCTGGTGGCCTGAGGAAATCTCTGCTGCCAGAGAAGCCATGTCTCTTCCTCTAGTTCATACCCTTACCTGTTACCTGACTGATCGGATCAGAAGTCTAAATATGTGATCATGCCAAAGTGATTCCTCGACTCTGAATTTTCAAAACCCCTAGTGCCTATGAGAGCAGATGAAAGACATTAAATCCAATTTCCTGGTTTGGGTTTGGTGCTGTCGCCTATGCAAAATGTCACCACTCGGGGGAGCAATGGAGAGGGTG